GTACAGTTTGTTTGTTTTTTAATCACCCAGGGCGAAAGAACCTGACTAGAGAGGAGCAAAAGAGGAACATTTGAGAGACGTAAATTTTTCGTCTCTGTCAAGTTTCAAACCAGAAACCTATCGAATATGAGATGAACACAGTGCCTCTAGACCACGAGAACCCCGACCCGAGTTTGATTCACGAATAGGAACATTTATTTTTATAATATAGTCTTTGTGCTGGGATGCAGTAGCCCGCTCAACCCGGGTTGGCCCTGACAGGCAGGGTCGAAGCCCTCCTCCTAAATGATGTAAATTGTGTCGGTGATGGCGTAAAATACCAAAATTTAAAAAGAAATAACCTTTCGTGTTCTCCCTTCATTTTGCAGAACCCAACAAGGTGAATTTAAGAAGGGTTTGCATCCAGATGTTCGTTTTGATGGAGAGTTTCATTAACTTGTTAGTTGTTGAAGGTGTACGACTTGATAAAGTTCTAAACAGCCTTTTGTATTGGTTTGTACAATCACTGAGTGACAGAAATGACACAGTATTCAACTGTTAGTATAGTGACAACGACGGAAATATAGCCAGCGTAAAGTGCATGCTGTAGAGCGAAGACATGCGCTATATAAAAGCAATTATTGTTAATATTTCTATTAAATATTATCAACCATTTACAATCAGTCAGAATTCTGTTCCTTTTAGTTACGCGTAGGTGAACATTTATTATTACTACAGACTCAGAAGGCGGAAATGACAACCGTTGATGTTCATGTCAGGGAAGCACGGCTGTGAGAGTGTATGTGTAAAATATATCGTAGTTGTTCGGATACTACACACAAATACCGATAAGCGGCAGCGGCTAAGAGAATTATGGCCGCTGAACAATGGGTTAGGGTATTATTGGGATCGATGACCGGTCTCGCAGGTACAAAAAAGAAAGGGATTTGAAAACCAGAGAGACGCAGGTGCAAAGAGAGGAAAAGTGCTACCAAATGATATGCTCACATAGTGCTGTAATCTAACACAAGAATTTGTTGTAAAGACGAGAAACCGTCAGATTAAAAATTCATTAAAAAAAAAGAAAACTAGAGCAAAAAAGATCAGCAGCAGCTGGACCGAAAAGATGTGAAACACTTTTTAAATAATGTAATCTCCAAGGAAACAGAACATACATACCTGAACTTGCTCAATGTCTTGACAGAAAAGATGAATCTAGCATTCCTCGGCTGCGACATAATAATACTTCGGACCTACGAACAGCTGTAGGACGTTCAAACAACTAAATAAAGGAGAAACTGCTGTTCGTCCGCATGTAGCAATAGCCTTGGGTAGACTGTCTCATAATATGGCACGCACTGAACGGAAGCAAGGAGAGAATCGATAGTCGACCTGCTGGGTTTCTCATTCGTCGATTACCGATTTTGCTCACGGGCTAGTGACTATTGATACTACTGGACACGTCTATACGTCTCAAATAAAAGGTGGTTTTGATGCCGTTCACTGATGCGTGACGAAAATGGCAACTATTATTACTTTTTTTTCTTCCTCTTCTTTTGTTCGTTATCCTTGAAATAATATACTTAAACAAAGAACTCAGTTAAAGGGATCCGTTCGACAATAAAATAACTACTTTCCTGAGCTTATTTTGTATTTCATCCTGGGTTTCTTTTTGTTTATATTTAAGTTACTATGCCTTGGGATAAACTAGTTTTAAGACAATGCTCACAGGCTCTCACACACACACACACACACACACACACACACACACACACACACAC